GGATTAAAGCAGTACACTTCCACACTCAGTGCCTATCACCTGGCCTATCAAATTCTTGATCTCAAATGCTATAATCTTTTCAAGACTCATTAAAAATGAATTTACTGGCCAGGTGTGGAAGCCATCTTCCTAACCCCTCTTAATAAACATAACCTACAAGCAGCACTGTTACTACTCTTCATTTCAGAAACTCGGGTTCACCACGGGAAGCTGCCTTCAGTCACTCGTCAGGTAGAAAGAATGACAACCTTTACCTGGTTCATGCCTGCATTGGCAAAGAGCAAAGTGGGATCGTCCAATGGGATGGTAGCAGAAGAGTGAACATAGGTGTGCTCATTTTTTTTGAAGAAATTTATAAACCGCTCTCGGATTTCTCTTGCTGTTAGCATGGAGTCCATCTTGAAAGGCACCTCAGGATACTAAACAAAAGAAAGGATGGTAGGAAATTAAGGAAATAAAACCAAAAATAGGCATTATGCAAGACTCGTGGCTTCTCAAGCCAAGTCAAAGAATGACAAAGGTTAGCTAGCTTTTTTTGATCTTAAAATCTCTGTGTTGCAACGTCCCAGGGTATAGTTATTGTCAAAGAAAGATTTTTGCTGCACCAGCAAAGCGGCTGGCCGTATCTACACCTGTCAACCTCAACAGACATCAAGCAGAGCAGGTGACTTATTCACTACACAAACATGCATTGAACGTCCAATGCCAGGAATCAGAAAGGAATAATGGACCTCATGGTCTTTACGGTCCCATTGAGGAAGGGACAGAAGTTTAGGAGACCTGGATTCTAATCTGAATCCTTGAGGGTGTCACTTCAACGAAAGGAAGAGTCTGTATCTACTGGCCCCTAAAGATCTTTCAAACTCTTCGTTAACCTGCATCCTAAGAGTTACACACAGTTCCAGGCCCCCAAAGCCAGAGCTGCTAGGTTTGGGCTGATACTTGGGTGTTAGTGGCAAAGAGCTCAAGGATAAGCCTATCAGTTCCATAGGCCACCCTAAAGTATCAAGAATGTACCAATGGGCTGGAGAGATGACTCAGCAAGCAGTAAAGAACACTTCCAGAGGACCTGGGTTTAATTCCCAGCACCCACATGGCAGCCCACAACTGTCTATACCTCCAGTTCTAGGGGATCTAAAACCCTCATGTACATAAAATTAATAAAAACATATAAATAAATAAAAAGAATGTACCAACCTCTTTGTAGCCTAAAATCTCCAGAGCACTTGCTGGGACAGGGCTTTCTAAGAAGAACTGGGGGTATAGCTCAGTGATAGAGTATGCATTATTTCAAAATGAGCATGCTACAGTGAGAGAAGCTGACTGGATAAGTCCAGGGACTCAGAAGATCAGGGAGTCAAAAAAAGGCAACTTTATAGCTTCAAAGCCTTTTTTTTTTTATATGTAATATAATGTCCCTGAAAGGCAGGATGTGTGGAGGTTTTGGTCAGTGTGTCAGTAACTGCCTAGTGTTGTAGTGGCGTGCTGCACTGGGTATCCAGAAAAATGACAACCCTCTCATTCATGACATCCAGCTCTAACCTTAACTGCATCACTTTAGGCTGAGTTTAGTGCCTGTATTGAACAGGATTTGTCGAGGACTAAAACCTAATGAAACAGGTACTATTTGCATCAATAAGCCACACAGCACACAGACATCCTGACTCAGCCAACCACAACTCCAACTGATTTACTTACAATTCAACATATCACTCAGATAGATGCCCCAAAGGGGCAAAAAGATGGTAAAACAGGCTGAATGAAAAAAAACTGGACCAGCATTCCCACAGGGTCTTGCAGTTCATGATAAGGATTATCAAGGTCAAGGTTGTCAAGGTCAAGGTTTTCAGAAATTATTATTATTATTATTATTATTATTATTATTATTATTATTATTATTATTATTATTATTATTATTATTATTATTATTATTATTATTATTATTATTATTATTATTATTATTATTATTATTATTATTATTATTATTATTATTATTATTATTATTATTATTATTATTATTATTATTATTATTAAGGTTTTCTGAAATCTTGTCACATCGAATTCTTTCAACCATTCCTCCGAACGCCTCTCTGAACAATGGTTGCAAAACTGAATTTACCTTTATAACAAGTCGTAGTTGTTAAAGAAAACTGCTTCTCTAAATAGGTAACTCTAAAGAACATTTGAATTTCCTATCTTTGCTTATTCATTCAACATAATGAACACGTACTGTGTTGAAAACCAAGATGGAGCGTCAGTCAGTGCCCTCCACAGGGAGACCACTATATACAGAAATAACAAGTGTTAACTAGGATCTGACATGTTGGTTATTAGCCCTATAGAGGATGAAGACTGTTCAAAGCTGTGTCCCCAGCCAGACAAAACAGAAGAGCTCAGGTACTGAGGGAGGGAAATTGAGAGAGGTGGCTTGCGCCTGTAATCCCAGCACTCAAAAAGCCGAGGCAGAACTCCCGCAGTTCAAGGCCAGCACGTTCAGGCCAGTCTGGGATTAAGGTATGAGAACATAAAATGAACGGAGATGTCTCTCACTGGGAATCCACCCAGATGGTGGTGACTGAACAGCAATAGCAGGTTGCTTCCCAAGGTCTTGGTCCTCGGCAAGTACACCCGAGGCTGCACCACTTTCAGTACTCAGAGACACCAGCAAAAGCTATTCCCGAGTTCGTGCTCCTACCGAGCCTGGGGCTCGGCTCCAGCCTAGATCCCGCTCCCCAGGCCAGGGGCCGGACGGCGGGACTCGACAGGCTGCTGCAGCTGCCCCTCCCCCTGCAAGCGCCGGCTCTTCTCTTAAGAGCTCTCGAGGCCCTCTTGCTTTTGCCCAGGACCGGGTCCTCGCCCGGAGCCCACGGCTAGACGCCCCCAGTTACCTGCTTCCTCAGATGCTCCGACACTCCGCTGTACCCACCCGCCACAACCGGCGCCAGGCCTGTACCTCGCCATCCAATCAGAGTTCTCTCGAGAAAAGTGCTCCGTTACGCCTAGTCTCCTACATATATTATTGGCCCACTCACAGGCCAATCATCCAGAGCGCGAATGAGTTTGCAAGCCGGTTTCTGGGAAGGCTGCCGGACTCGGCTGATGCAATGAGCAAGAAAGCTGGGACATGGGTGTCACATGACAGTGTTGGCTATTGGCTCCAGGAGGTCGACATTTTGGTAATTCCCAAAATAGTCTACAGTTAAGAGGGATGAAAACATGAATTTGGTAGCGATTACAGATTTTTGTATAGCACTCTTGTTTTAACTGCAAAGTGATACACAGTCCTCAAAGGTTCTTTTTCTGACCTTTTAAAATAGGAACCAGGCTGGCCTCGAAATCAGGGTATTTTCCTGCCACCCTGTATCTCAAGTGCTAGGGTTACACGTGTGAACCAATCAAATGTTCTTATTGTTACCGCAAATAAACTTGTATTTCTTGTTTAACGGTACTTTGGACTGCACTAAGTGCTTTAACTGCCCCCAAAGCACTTTAGCACTTACCAATACCTCCAGCTCTCTCTTTTTGAGACTGGGTCTGGATAAATTGTCCAGGTTGGCCTTGATTTTTCAGTCTTGTCCCGGCCCCCAGAGTAGGTTGTGTCACCAGGCATAGCTTTATATTTGTCCTTCTTATCCCAATTTCTTGGTTGTGAAGAGGTAGAAATGACCTAACACAAGTTACAGGACAGCTGGCTCTCCATTTGTTTTTCTAAACAGTCAACATTCAGAGGAAAGCCTTTAATGGTGACCCACACCTATAATTTCAGCCTTGAGAGGTACAGGCAGGGGGATTGGGAATTCAAGAACACCTTTAGGCTGCAGTAGACCCTATCTCAAAATATCACACGAACAAACAAAAATTAATAGACAAAGCATTACACTAAACATTCCACACAAAGTTTAATTTTTAAACTGTATTGTTATGTCTGCTAGTATCCCCTTTTCACAGAAGAGAAAACCACAAATTACATATTCCAACATGGAGACTGTTTCATTAGTTATACAGAACAAAGAAGTCATAAATCAAGGCAATTTAAAAATACATTGGTGGATATATCAGAGAGGTGAATATAGCAAGGTGGGGAAAGCTTTTCTATAAGTCCAAGATGTTATCTGATGGCATCCTTAGCTTTTGGGTTGGTCTGCTAAGTTAATAGATTCCAAATGGTTTCCATCTATTAGTACAAGAGTTTAGGTCCAACACAAAAATGGGTAAAGAAGGGCTGTTTCTAGAGGGCTAGAAACAGCTCAAAGTAATTAGTCCCTGGACCGGCAACAGTCCAGTCTTTCCACAGTACTGAAATTATATCTAATTAGTCAACTAGTATCTACACACTCAGCCTCCTTTCAGTACTTTTTGTTCACAACTTCATAGTAAAACCATGTCTTTTTTTGTTTTGTTGTGAAGATAGGTCTCACTGTGTAGGCCCCGGCTGTCCTAGAACTTAATATATAGATCAGGATAGCCTCCAATTCAAAGATCTGCCTGTTTCTGCCTCCCAAGCACTGGCGTTAAAGGGCATGTGCCACTACTCCCAGCTGGGATCAGCATTTCTTTTTTGAGACAGGGTCTCTCTGTGTAGCCTTTGGCTGTCCTGGAACTTGCTTTGTAGACCAGGCTGGCCTCGAATCACGGAGCTCCACCTGCCTCTGCCTCCGGAGGGCTGGGCCGGGCTCCAGCTAGCATTTCCTAAAAAATAGACACTGTACTATTGTCAAGGGATTTCTAGTCAGTGGTCAACTCAGCAACAAATGACAAACTCGAGACTTCAAGTGACCTTCTGCAGGAGGTTTCCATGGGTCTTTGGAGGCAAGAGTTCTCAAGTGCGCATGCGCAAGCAAGAGCAGTTCCCTGACCTCTTTTGATTGGCTAGGAGGAGCCGACTTCGCAGCCTCAGCCAATGGAGCTTAGGCTTGGCTCGGACTGTGAGTGGCGGGTGGGGGAGGCCAAACCCCCTCCTCTGGCCCGGGGGGCGGGGGCGGGCGGGCGGGGGGGGGCGGCAAGGGCGGAATCCACTTTCCCTGACCTTAAGTGGCGTGAGTATCTGTGCAGGTAGCTCTCCTTCTGTACCTTTAGGTGCTTTCCTCACTGCAAGAAAGAAAGGGAGAAGACAGTAAATGAGTCTTGCCCCATCAGCTAAGCACCAGGCCCGAGGTCCTTGGGATCTCTCAGAACCCAGGTGTCTCGTACCATAAATTAGGAAACAGACTGGCAACCGCTACGTGGTATTAAATACAGGAGGCTGAATTAAAGTGTTTAAGGGGCCTTTCTCCATGCCCTTCTCAGGAGTCTCACACTGCTCAGCTTTATTACAGGTGGAGTTGCCGTTTTTTCAAGCAGGGTGCAGGCACTCGCTGTGTAGAACAGGCTAGCCTTGAACTCACAGAGATCCACCTGCCTCTGCCTCCTGAGTGCTGGCTGCGATTAAAGAAGTGTTTCACCACCATCCGGCTAACACACGAAATTTAATTCAGGATAGCTGTGCCCCCCGTGAGGTGTTTTTGTTCTTTCCTTTGTTGATATCCAGAAATATCACACTAGCCTAGATTATCCTCAAACTCATATAGCCAACAATGACCTTGAACTGGATCTTTGTTTCCACCTTCCAAGTGCAGCTCTTACAAGAGAGAACCACCTGGTTGGGCTTTGAGGATGCTTCAGTTGAAATTTTGTGTTTGAGGTATGCAAGAACTTTTGAGGTTTTTCAAATACATTCAGGGTCTAGCATGTGCTGCTAGGCAAGAGATCAGTTGCATGTTTTATTTCTTTTTTTCTTTTTGGTTTCTCGAAACAGGGTCTCTGTAGCCTTGGCTGTCCTGGAGCTCACTCTGTAGACCAGGCTGGCTTCAGATTCACAGGGCTTGCCCCTGCCTCCCACATGCTGGGATTAAAGGCGTCCACCAACACAGCCAACTCATGTTTTATTTCTTAAGCCAAGTGGTAGGAGCCTAGGTAAGAGCATAGAACATCAGGTCACATTCATCCCCTCACTCATTAATTTTCCCTCTATCCCCCAGAAGCTGAGGTATTTGTTAAATATTATTCCCTTCATTATCTGAAGTAAAAACAATTTTTTTTTTAGACAGTCTCACTATTTGTAGCCCTGGGTGGCGTGGAACTATGTGGACCAGGCTGGCCTACCTGTGCTTCTAGAGTTCTGGGATTAAAGCATTGTATCACCACATTAAGGTGTTTTTTGTTTGTTTTGTTTATTTTTTAAAGGTTTATTTATTTGTTTATTATGTATACAGTCTGCATCATGTGTCCATGAAGGCCAGAAGAGGGCACCAGATCTCATTACAGATGGCTGTGAGCCATCATATAGTTGCTGGGAATTGAACTCAGGACCTCTGGAAGAGCAGCCAGTGCTCTTAACCTCTGAGCCATCTCTCCAGCCCTAGTTATATTTATTTTTAAATAAGATGGTCATGTTGATCTCCAACTCCTTATTCTCCTGCTTCAGCATCTCAAGTACTGGGATTACAGGTTGCACCACCATGCTTGACTTGTACAATTTTTTTAGTTTGGGTCTGGTTTTCTGAGATTCTGTCTCAAAAGAAAATGAGCACAAGGAAAATAATTTCAGAATTCAAAACGAAATTTCAGATGGGAGTGATGGCTCATGCTTATAATCCCAGCATGTGGAGACTGAGGCAAGCAGATCACTGTGAGTTAAAACCTCTCCTAAATAGTCGTCGATGTGTTTCTGATGACTTTCATTCTGTACACACACCTATGTTAGTTTGTTTCATTTTGTTGAGCAAGGAGAACCTATTCTATATTGCATCTTGCATAATTTAATGTTTAACTTCATTTTATTTTGTTTGGAATTTCTTAACCTTATGTAGCCTTGAAAAATACAAAAAAAAAAAAAAAAAAAAAAAAAAACAAAAAAAAAAAAAAAAAAAAAAAAAAAAAAAAAAAAAAAAACCTCAAATTTTTTTCTAGTTGATTTTTCCCCAGGATTTCTTCTGACTCGCAATATGGTCATGGCTCCCAGTCTGTGCTTGGTTGTCCTCTGCCTGCACCATCCTTACCTACTCACCATTGCTTGACATTAATTTGTCATGTAATATTAGTAAAATGTTTTCATAAAGTTCCAAGAAAATTCTCCAATTCCTTCCAAGAAGTAGCCAGGGATAAAAGCCTATTTGATCCCAGTTAGGGGAAAGCAAGTATTTCAGTCCTTATTTTACTATTCTAAAAATTAGAGCTATTTCCTCCTCTTAAAGATCATCCAGGGCTCCAAAACTACACAGAGAAACCCTGCCTCAAAAAACCAAACCAAAATAAAATAAAAATTATCCAAAACTAAGGCTGAAGAGATGGCTTAGAGGTTAAGGGTGCTTGCTGCTCTTGCAGAGGACCTGGGTTCAATTCCCAACACCAACATGATAGTTCACAACTATCCATAACTCCACTTCTGGGTATCCAATGCCCTCTTCTGACTTTTCTGGGCTCCAGATACACATATAGTGCACAAAGGCATGCAAGCAAAACACTCATACACATAAAATAAGCAAGTTTTTTTTGTAATTATCCAAAACTAAATAAATAAAACTCCAGCTACACAGCCTTTACATAGGAGAGGAGAGCTGGCCATCCGAAGAAGGCATAGATGATTCCAAAATCCATATATTTCCTTATTAAATGGCTCTTGCCACCAGGGATTGAATTGGATTGGTTGGATAAACTGACTTACTCTTTCTGGTTTCTGATATTTTACCAAAATTTTCAATTTATCAAGAATTTGGTGTTTTCAAAACTCAATTTGGGACAGATCTTTGTTTCACAGGACTGATTGCCAATACTTAGAAATCTTATTAAATTGATAAGAACAGACACTAAGTAAGCTGAGGCATTTTAAATAACCTGAAAAGTTAAAACAGCTATTTGCTTGCTTATGTATTCTGAATGTAATAGTTATATGAGCCCCTCTATACCACCATGCTGGGTGTGAAGGTGATTTCCCTCCTTTAGTCAGAGAGCATTTAGTCTAGGCTACCTCAGTTGGGTAGTAGGGCAATCTGCAGGGAAGTGGTAGAGGCGGGGACCTGAAGACTACCTTAGAGTTGCCAGGACTTTAGGGGCGCAGAGCTGACGCGGGCTCTGACGACACCGCGGTGCGCCGCTTCCGGTCGTCTGCGCCTCAGTGAATGATTTCCCCCGGGGCGGAGCTGGGCCTCGCCGCGACCCACCTGAGCCCACGGCCGCGCCGCCTGTCAGCACTGCCCCGGCACTGGGGACCATGGCCACGGATTCATGGGCCCTAGCGGTGGACGAACAGGAAGCCGCGGCTGAGTCGGTGAGTTGTCACCAGCCGCTGGAGGACCATGGGACCAGTGCCGGTCAGGATCGCGGTCTCTTGGAAAGACACTGTTTAGGTTGCTCGGTGCAGGGCGGAGGAGCCTGGCGGGAATGGGACTTGGCCCCAAAGCTGGCTTTGCTTACCCAGCCCCTCCCACGTTGTATAAACTCAATTTGGGTGATCCAGCCATCTGCCTGTCTTCCTGGAATCAGGGTTGATAATCGATTGCACTCACAACCTCGGATGGCAATTTTTATGTAGCTTCAGATACAAGTTTCTTGGGCTCACGGACCATGTCTTACTCATTTATAACTCCTCCCACTGGGTTATTGGTGCTGGATGATTGACTGGTTTGGCAGTAAATCCTCTCTTGATTAGCTCTTTTTCTTAGCCTGATACATTGTAGCAAGACGTGAGTTAAATATTGCTATGTACAAGTAATTTACAAACATTCTGAAATTTAGTAGAGATTTGAATGTGACTCTCAGTACATATATCTGTGTATTTTCCAAGAATAAGTATTTGTCCGATTTAACTTTTTTTTAGTAAAGAGTAAAGGTTTCAGCCTGGCATGATCTGGCACCTCTCATCATATCTCTTAGAGGCATAGGCAGGAAGATTGCCTCAAGTTGAAGGCCACCCTGAAAGAAAAAATATTTAGTTTAGCTTAAAACTTTTATTATAATATATATAGTAATATAATTATTTACCCACATGGTTTAAAGAGAAGTAGTGTTTTGGACTTTGTTCACTTATTTGGGTATTTTTAATTTTTTCTTTTCTGAGACAGAGGACCTTGAATGAATGTATGTATGTATGTATGTATGTATGTATGTATGTATGTATGAATGAATGACTGGAACTCCTGATCCTCTGTCTCTTATGTCCTGAGTGCTAGGATCACAGGCCTGCATCACTGTGCCCTGTTTGAGAAAAGTGTTCTTTTTTCTTTTTCTTTTTTTTCCTTGAGACATGGTTTCTCTGTAGCCTTTTTAAAAATTAATATACAAAGTGCTAGGTTTCACCATAGCATCTTTATACATATGTGTCATGATTCTTTGTCCTTCCCTTACTCTCCCTCGGGTGGCTTCCCTCCAGCTGGGTTCCCTTTCTTCACCTGTGTAGCCTCCCTCCTGCTTTCCTGTTAACTTTATTTCCCACCTACCATAAGACCTCTTCCTCCTCCCTCATGACCTCCTTTCTAGTTTTGTGACCTATAAATACACAGATAAATAGGTGTACAAACACCAATATATATAATTTTGCATTATGAGCAAAAACATGTGTTTGTTTTCCTTGGTCTGGTTTATTTTGCTTAACATAATGATTTCCAGTTGTACTCATTTTGTGCAGGTAACATGAGTTCACTTTTCTCTATAGTTCCATAAAATTCCACTTTGTATACCACATTTGCTTTATCTATTCATCTATGAATGGACTTCTAGGCTAGTTCCATTTCCTGGCTGTGTAGCTATAAATACAGATGTGTAAGTATCTCTGTAGTATGTTGACTTTGTCTTTCATCCTTTGAATACACAAGAGTGGTATAGCTGGATCATGTTCTATTATCAGTTTTGTTTTGTTAATGTCTGTACTGATTTCTGTATTGGCTTCATTAACTGATCTGGTTAACATTTCCCAAGTGCTGGGGTTACAGGAATGCATAGTTGTCATGCACAGTTCATGCAGTTTGTGGAACTGAACTTAAGAGTTTCCTGTGTGGTAGGCAAGCACTCTACCAACTGAGCTACATTCCCAGCCTCATATTTCTTTTTCTTTTCTTTTTTTGTGGGGGGGATTATCTACTTGGTTATTGGCCCATTCATTAATTGAACAGTTTGGGCCTTGGGGGTTTATTTTTGCACTTCTTTTAAAAAATTAAGACAATTTTATTGATTGCATGTAATTTTATGTATGTTAGCATATATTACAAACTTTAACTCACTATATAGCCCAACTGGAATTTAATTTTCTTCTTTTTTTTAAATATTTATTTATTATGTGTACAGTGTTCTCTCTGCATGTCTGCTTGGATACCAAATCTCATTACAGATGGCTGGGAGTTACCATGTGGTTGCTGGGAATTGAACTCAGGACCTCTGGAAAAGCAGCCAGTGCTCTTAACCTCTGAGCCACCCCCTCCCCTGGAATTTAATTTTCAGCAGTCCTTCTACCTCAGTTTCCCCCAGTTTGAGTATTACAGGTTTGAGCTACCAGGCCAAGATCCCAGTTTTGATTAAAATGTTATCTTTTAATTAAATGGACTTTCTGTATTTATATTATTTCCTAAGTACTTTTTTTTTTTTTTTTTTTTTTTTTTTTTTTTTTTTGGGTGGGGTTACTGGGTCTCTCTACATAGCCCTGGTTGTCCTGGAACTCACTATTTATGCTAGGTTGGCCTTGAACTTACAGAGATTCACCTGCTTCTGCCTCACAAGGGCTGGGACTAAAGGCATATGCCACCATGACTAGCTCTTTAAATTTTTAAAATTACATTTATCTGGCTTTGTGTGTGTGTGTGTGTGTGTGTGTGTGTGTGTGTGTGTGTGTGTGTGTGGGTGTGGTGGGGAGGGGAGGTCTTGCCATAGCACGAATATGGGAGCCAGAAGACAACTGGTGGAGTTGCTTCTTTCCTTGTACCATGTAGGTCCTGAGGATTGAACTCAGGTCTTCAGGTGTGGTGGCAGATGTCTACCCTCTGAGTCTTCTTGGCCATCCCCTTACTTACTTGATAAAAACTTATTTTTCATGGAGTTTTTAATTGGCCTGTGGTTTGCTTGTTCATTTATTATCAGCTCGCTCCTTAGCTTGATGCTGGTAGTCTTTATATCAAGATGTCCAACTACATGTGGGGAAAAAAAAAAGATGTTCAACTACATTAAGCATTCTATTAACTGTTTCTTTCATAACATTTAGTGTGATTCAAGCTGGACTGTCCAGACCCTCCTATTTTTAGAGTACAGCTCATTTTTGTAGGGACAAGGAGAAACAGCAGATTTGCTATCAATCTCATTCAGAAGGATTCCTTCTTCCTTTCTCTTTTGTTGAATATACTCTCTTCTCCCTCCTTTACATCCCTCCTCCTCGTAGACACAGGGTCTCATGGAGCAAGAGCTAGCCTTCAACTTACTATGTAGTCCAGGATGGTCTTGAACTCCTAATCCTCCTGCTTTCACCTGTTGCATTCTGAGATCACAGGTATGGACAACCATGACCAGTAAACTAGCCCCCCCCCCCTACCTTGGTTTTTTGAGGCAGGGTTTCCCTGTGTAGCTTTGGAATCAGTCCTGCAATTCACTCTGTACACCAGGCTGGCCTTGAACTCAGAGATTCTCCTTCCTCTACCTCCTGAGTCCTGGGCTGGGATTAAAGGCATGTGCCACTACTGCCCAGCTGAGTGAAGGATTTTTTTTTTTTTTAAGGTGGATTTTTTTTTTAAGATTTTATTTATTTATTATGTGTACAACATTCTGCTTCCATCAGAAGAGGGCACCAGATCTCATAACAGATGGTTGTGAGCTACCATGTGGTTGCTGGGAATTGAACTCAGGACCTCTTAACCTCTGAGCCATCTCTCCAGCCCCTGAATGAAGGAGGCCAGAAGAGGGCACCATATCTCATTACAGATGGTTGTTGGCCACCATGTGGCTGCAGGGAATCGAACTCATGACCTCTGGAAGAGCACTCGATGCTCTTAACCTCTGAGCCATCTCTCCAGCCTAGATTTTTCATTCTTTATACCCTTTACTAGCTGGTAGCTGAGTCACTACTCAGGACCTTTGGGAGAGCAGCCAGTGCTCTTAATTGCTGAGCTATCTCTCCAGCCCCCTATTAAGATACTTACATCCTTATGGGTGGATATAAGTCATACCAGGATATTTCTAATTTATACTGTTTGACAAAGTCCTGTTAATTATTGCCTTGGAACATTTCTCTGATCAGTTTCTTCTTTTCTAGTCCTAACTGAACCTGTCTTGGTTAATTTTGGTTGTGCCTGGTATCGCAGTGCTCTCAGAATTTATAGTTATAATGTCAGACCCAGTACAAAGCAGCTTGAATGTGAGGCTGCACGTTAGCTGTTGTGGTCTGGCTGGGACCTACCCAGCCATATAACTATGATGGGTCACTGCTGCTCTACTTTGTAATCTTTCCTGCTGGGTATTGGCTGTCAAAAGTGAGACTGATTTTTTTCCCCCGGTCTTTGCATTTCTTTTCTTTCAGGACAGAAGAAAATGACAGTTCTGACAAAATCTTACCGAGAAAGTCTTTGTAAAACAAAGCATTAAGCAAGCTTACAAATTATAATTCTTCATAGAAATTGTAATTAGGAAATGTGAGGTTGGGACTACTGTATAATCTTTTTTTTTCTTTCCTACTGCTGTATTTATGGGAAATTTTGTTATTTTCTTTCAACAATTTGAAAGTAAAAGGAACCCAGTAGAACAAGCTAATGAATCATTGCTACTGAATATGCCTAGCAAGTAAGTCTTGAGAATAGTTCTTCCAGTTTAGTTAGGGAGGCTCTGTTGACTCACAGTCTTTTATTTGATTTTCCTGACACTTTCCATCCCCCCATTCTCCATTTAGTTGAGCAACTTGCATCTTAAGGAGGAGAAAATCAAACCAGATGCCAATGGTGAGTAACTAAAGATAGTTTGAAAAGAAATGTGATTTCTCTTTGGTATTTCTATTTTGATATAGCAACTACCTGGAAAATTAGTGCATTATACTAGACAAAGGATATGTATTTGACTTGGGTATCAATAAACTGGGTTGTATAATTAAAGAATGTTTAATATAAGAATGAGAATAACCTAGCTAGCATGTAAATTATTCAGTTTATTGCTTACTGTAGGGCTATATTGACAGGAATGATTGTTTTTTAACTTGTCTTTGATTTGTAGTGGGATGCACATAAAGTTTGAGCAACTTGTCAGTTTACATGTTCTAAATATCAACCTGAATTTATATCTGTTTAAAAATGTAAGGTGGAGCAGTAAGACTTTTGCTTAATGTAAAGTGCTTGCCTACATATACAAACAAGGCCCTAGGTTCCCAAGAACCACAAAACAAACAAAGACCAAGATCAGAGCAATATTAACATTTATCTCACTCTGAACACACAATCTTATGTGTATTTTTACATAATTACAATGTTATTTGACTATATATTTGTTAGTCAATAATTTACATACATGGAATTTTTGTGGCATTGTGTTCACATTGACAATATGATTTGCAGCCAGGCGTTGGTGGCGCACGCCTTTAATCCCAGCACTCGGGAGGCAGAGGCAGGCGGATCTCTGTGAGTTCGAGGCCAACCTGGTCTCCAGAGCGAGTGCCAGGATAGGCTCCAAAGCTACACAGAGAAACCCTGTCTCAAAAAACAAAAGAAAAAAAAAAAAGGCAATATGATTTGCAGGTACTTTGTTGAGCACAAAGATGCTTTCTAATCATTGTTGTTGTGGTCATCATTCTATGCTATTTCAGAAATGTCAATGCTGTGGCAGAACTATGCAAGTTTTAAAAATAGTACAAGGCAAATAATCATACATAAGCAGTGTTTCTAAACTTTATTTTTAATTTATGTATTTTATGTGCATTGGTGTTTTGCCATAGGTGTCAGGTTCCCTGGATCAAAGTTACAAACAGCTGTGAGCTGACATGTTGGACCTGAAAATTGAACCTGGGTCCTCTGGAAGAGCAGTCAGTGCTCATTATCATTGAGCTATCTCTCCAGACCTTCTAAACTTTATTTAGAGAGAATAAATTTGTTTTAGTAATGGCTTGTTTTGTTGCAAAAAATTGATAATTTCTCCCCCTAGAATTAGAATTGTCTGGATTGCTAGATATGGGATAAGATTTTGAATAACATCTACTTTGTATCTGATCAAGGTGCTGTTGTTAAAACCAGTGTTAATGCAGAGAAAACAGATGAAGAAGAGAAAGGTAATATAGCCTTCCAGCTATGTAAATGAGGTTCTATGTTCTAGAATAAAGTTATGACAAGGCTTACTTTATTGTTCATTTACTAAGTGTTTTTCAGACAAGATCTTGCTATGTAGCCCTTGCTGGCCTGGAACTCTATGCAGTTTAATTAGAACTTGTGGTAATTTTCTTTCCTCTGCCTTGAGTGCTGGGATTATTGGCATTTGCCACCACAACCAGTTTGAGGTGTAGGTGCAGGTGTAGGTGTGTGTGTGCGTGCGTGCGTGCGTGCGTGCGTGTGTTCCTTAGTGCTGGGATTAAAAGCCAGTGTCACCATGAATGGTCTTTCCACCTTGTTTTTTGAGATGGTCTCTTATTGAATTTGGAGTTCACTAATGCAGCCAGACTGCTGGCCAGCAGGTCCTAGGACCAGCTTGTTTCCTTGCTAGCATGAGGCTTCACTGTTAGACCCAACTTGGGTTGACAATGAGTAGGTGTTACAGTGCTAGGATAAAATTCAATTTAATCAGTATATAAAGAAATTAATGGTTTATATTTCAGAGAAATTTTCCATTTTTTACTATATTTTAAAATCAAAACTAATGTACGTGAATTAGGAAGCCCAGTTTATTACTTCAAATACCTATGACTGTATCGTGTATAAAATATTCTGTTTGCATGTACACTTTTATGCCAGAAAGGGTACCAGATTTTATTATAGATGGTTGTGAGCCACCATGTGGTTGCTGGGAATTGAACTCAGGTCCTCTAGAAGAGCAGCCAGTGCTTTTAACCTCTGAGCCATCTCTCCAGTACCCCAAATTCATGGACTTTAAACACTCCTCTCCTCTTTATTCGCAGAGGACAGAGCTGCTCAGTCTTTACTCAACAAACTCATCAGAAGCAATCTTGTGGATAACACCAACCAAGTAGAAGTTCTGCAGAGGGACCCAAACTCCCCTCTCTACTCAGTGAAGTCTTTTGAAGAGCTTCGCCTGTGAGTATCCATTGCTTTCTGCATTCAGATACAGATCATTGCCTGGTTATACATATTTCTCGTACAGCGTATGTTTGCCTACATGAGGTAATAATATGCATTTAGGTACTTCAGGATGTTAAGTACAATGTTCAGGCAATCTGTAAAAGCTTTAGCTGTATTTGCACATTGTGTTTAGTTCTCAGTGTACCAGTGAAAAAGAGAAAAAAAAATCTCCTATAAACTTTGCTATGTTCCTCAATCTAAGTGACTTTAATCTTTAATGGTTTTTCTAGGAAACCACAGCTTCTCCAGGGAGTCTATGCTATGGGTTTCAACCGTCCATCCAAAATACAAGAGAATGCATTGCCTTTGATGCTTGCTGAACCGTACGTAACTCGATAAAACTACAAATCTATCATTTACTATTTTTAAAAAAATTTAAGCCTGTTGGCTCATGACTAATAATCCCAGATATTTAGGAAGCTGAGGCAGGAGGATGAAAGGTTGAAGGTCTGCTCAAGCTATAAAGTCAATTCAAGGCCAGCTTTAGCAATTAAAAAAAAGAAAATGTATACCAGCTATTTGTCTGGCTTTTGAAAACAGATTTTATTGCAGTGTGTGTGCGCGCGCGCGCGTGCGTGCGTGCAGCATGGTATGTATATGGAGATCAGAGGACAAATTGAGGGAGTCAGTTCTTGAATTCCACAATGTGGTTCCTAGAAAATCAAATTATGGTCATCAGCCTTGGCAGCAAGCACCTTTATCTACTGAGCCATTTTGCCAGTCCCCAATTGTTCTTTTTACTCTGAATATATTGTTATGAAAAGCCTAAGACATTCAGTGAATTTGAACAGATTTTGTAGGAAATGCCCATAACTACCTAGATTCTACCACTAGCATTTTATTATTTTTTTCGTGTATCTGTCTCCTAATAGATCTTTTTGATGTTTTTTGCTTGTTTTTGGTGAGGTATGAGGTTGATTTTGTTGACAGTAAGTGTTGTTTTGAGACAAAATCTCAGTATTGCCCAGGCTGACCTTAAACTCTCTTTATGTTGCTGAAGATGACTCTTTTTTTTTTTTTTTTCCTTTTTTTTTTTTTTTTTTTTTTTTTTTT